AACGCCTCCCAGGTGATCCGACAGACGAATACAAACGTATCGTATCAACAGAACTAAAGAAACTGTTGGACGCAGAAAAGATAACCAACACTGACCACAAACTGATGCAAGCAGCATACCCTCGTCCAGGTCGCTTCTACATCCTCCCAAAAATTCATAAACCCGGTAACCCAGGTCGACCAATCATATCAGGCATCGGTACAATAACTGAACCCATATCAGGGTACGTGGACAAACTAATAAGCCACATTCCATGCACCCTCGCGTCGTACATAAAAGACACCACACATTTTCTTCGAGACATTGCGGGTATCTGTGTGCCGAAAAACTCGTACTTGGTTACCCTTGATGTCTCTTCATTATATACAAATATTCCTCACGATGACGGCATAGCTGCACTAAGAAACATGTACACAAACCATAGACAATCTAACACCCCAGATTTCTCTGCCATTGCAACATTGACGAGGATGGTCCTCGAATTAAATTCATTCGAGTTTAACCAAGAGTATTTTCGACAAATCAGCGGGACCGCTATGGGCACCAAAATGGCACCTAATTATGCCAACATATTTATGGGAAAGCTAGAATCTGAATTTCTTGCACAAAGTTCCTTGAAACCAATGTTATACAGAAGATACATAGACGACATCTTTCTTATTTGGACCCACAGCGAGGACGAACTTCTCAGCTTTATAGACACTTACAATGCTGTACATCCGAACATACACTTCACACACACATACTCGCAAGTTACCGTAAATTTTCTTGATGTTACCATAACGATAGAAGAAGAGAAGCTCTCTACAACCCTATATCGCAAACCAACGGATCGACAACAATACCTTCATTACCAAAGCGATCACCCACGCCACTGTAAAAACAGTATTCCATACAGCCAGGCTCACCGGTTTAAGCGAATCTGCTCTAGAGACGCTGACTTTGACACGAGCTCACAAAGGCTAAAACTTATGCTCGAGCAACAAAAATACCCCCCACATGTAATTAATGACGCTGTTCAAAAAGCGAGAAAACTAAAGCGTGAAGACTTACTTATGAAGCGACCACCACGAGAAGACCCACAACGAACAAACCTCTGCTTGACTTACAGCACAAACTTCCCCAATGTAAACAAAATCCTTAAACGACATTACAACATTCTGGAACAAAGTGAACGTCTGAAACGCGCATTCCCATCTGCTCCAGGCGTCGTTTACCGACGACCACGTAACCTCAAAGACACCCTTGTCCACTCCCAAATTAACACATCACCCCCCAATAATTCATGCCGCCCTTGCTTAAAGCCACGATGTCTTGTATGTAAGGCGATGCGAAAAACAGACAAAGCAACCAGCACGCAATCCAAGTTTTCGATTAACATACGAGGAAACCTAACATGCGATTCTTCTAATGTGGTGTACCTACTCGAATGCAACGTGTGTGGTATGCAGTACATCGGACAAACAGAAACACCATTTAGGATTCGCTTCAATAATCACAGAGCCCATGCGAAATCAGCCCCAAGTCTACCTCTATCAAAACATCTCAATCTTCCCGACCATGCATTCGACAAACTATCAGTAACGCTCTTAGAGACGGGATTTAAATCAAATCGAGAACGTGAACAACGAGAGTCATACCTTATCCACCGATTTAACACCCTCGATAGAGGAATAAATGAGAATCCTGGTACACTTGCAGCAATTAAAGCATTAGAAAACAATAACGGCAACGATGAAAATAGTAACTGAGTTCACGGCACTGCAGCTGCGAAGGGCACTGGACAACCTAAAACAATTCCAAGTGTAACTACTCTTCCTAAGTGCAGCTGTCGTCTGTTTTCTGTTTTATTTTACTACCCAATCAATTGTGCCATGCACGACATGCCCAACAGCAACCATGTGCACAGCCGGGAGGCCCCCACGACACGCGTAATTTAGAAGCGGGCCAGGAATTCGCATTGCACGCGCTTGCACAGCCTACCGCAATACGGGGCACCCCTATTTTTACGACGAAATGTTGACAGGGCGCGGAGTAGTTAAAGGCTTAGAACTTCCTAAAATGCCCGCTGACCAGCCTCTGCCACAATACGCGGCCCCCGTCCTTCTACGACGAATTGTTTACGGGACCCCGAGCAGTTAAAGGCTTAGGACTTCCTGAAAAGCTCTTTTTTGCCCCACACCGAACCGCCAGTGCCAGGAGGGACCGTCTGATCGGGAGGAATGCGCTAGTGAACGGAAACATACACAGACCGCTGACATCAGAAAGGTGAAGGGGAGAGGGGGGAGAGAGATGGGGGGGAGTGGAGGGAAAAGTGGAAGGGGGGCACCCGAGGGGCGTTCACCGTATATTATTTTTCTCTTTTTTTTCTTTCCTTTTCTTTTCTTTTTTTCTTTTCCTTTTTTTTCCCCTCTTACCTTGCCCTCTGATTTGAGATTGTATAAAGCTGAGCACCGACAAACTGTATCTTTATTCCTGATGAAGGCCAGACTCTAGGCCGAAACGTCGAAATAAACCACGTTGTGACCGCTCACGGAGGATCTACTAGACTATATGCAACGCTACGGCCACTCAACCACCATGCCTGCCTATATATATATATATATATATATATATATATATATATATATATATATATATATATATATATATATATATATATATATATATATATATATATATATATATATATATATGCGCGCGTGTGTGTGTGTGTGTGACAACAAACAACAACAGAAGAGACAGGGACAAGAGCTTGTCCCTCTCTTCTTTTCTGTTGTCGTTTGTCCAGACTTATGAACCAACTCGCCCAGCTACAAATTTTACTGAGTGTCCATATAATTGCTATCGCAATAAAACCCACGTGACCTACATCAATGATGGCGTCATGTTGCGACGGCACCCTGATGTCACATGATGACTTCAGCACATGACATCATCAGATAGCATCATTACATCAGATCGCCATTTCGTCAAAGATGGGCCATTCACGGAAGCAGTGCGACACCGTGCGAAGTGAAAAGAACCTCAACGGTTTTAAAGACATCAGGCGGGGGGAAACAACATAGGGCTTTGTCTACGACACTGCAGCCGCCTATGCCTTGCACATCACTTCGGTTCATGATAGCATAACCTAATATATTACCGGTTGTGAAGCAGGCTTTCCATCTTTAAGTGTGTAACATGTTGTTTTTGCGATATTTCAGAGTTTTTTTCAGATATTACAATGCACCATTTTACAATAGGTGTAACACTTACTTAAGTGCATTACAAGAGCAGTTATGGGGGGACTTGAGCAGAATGAACTGTTCTTTTTTTTTTTTAGAAAATTGTGTTATGGTATGACTGTTCGGAAATTGCATGAAGTCATGCGCTGAGGACAGTACACTGTTTAGCGCGCTGTGACTTCATATTCTAAGTTGTGCAGACAGCGCTTGTCTGGTCTAATAACGCTGTAGCCAAAAATTCAAATAAGGATCGCCATTACGCCAGCTATATGCAATTTGTTCGCTGCGCATAACCGGACAAATATGGCAAGCCCGAGACGTACATCAAGGTGCTGATACGGACCTCTATCATTTGGTGGAAGTGTAACCTCGAGGCTGTAACATAAATGGCGGTTGCGAATAGAGTTGACCCCGTGTTCGGATAAGTGCGATGAAGTAAATGCCGCCATTTTTCTTTGCTACAGGAAACCTAATGGTAAACCCGGGCAATTCCCACGTGCAGCTTATGCGGTTGTGACAAGACGATCATGCTCCGTGTTTATTTGTATTTTGACGCCGAGAGAAAAGCGATGTTCACAGCGATGGAACGACTGGATAACTATCTCCGTCTACCCAAACTAAATGGTTGTAGGCTGCTTCTTCTAAAGAAATTTGTCATAAAAATAGTTAATCACGTTGTTGTTTAAAAAAAGTGTTTAACGCTTTCGGGTAGTTTGATGTGTTTAGAACAAATGTTCGACGACTATGGAGCACGAGGTACTCATACAATGGGAGAGCAATAAGCTGTCTCTGACAACTGAACTAAACCGAAACGGTATTACGATCGAATTATATCACTTCCATGCATGTTTTGCAGTGAAGGTATGCTTTTCTTAGATCCGCACCCTCTTCTCCGTGCAGGGTAGCTAACTTGTTGCCATCCATTTCATTCCGTTTCACATAGTTCAATTTTGCCCCATTCCATTTCATCCATCCATCTATCCACTCCACATAGCCCAATTCTATTCCATCTATCCATCTATATCGTTTTTGTCCCGTTAGTAATCCGTAATCAACAGTATATTTCGACAGACAGTCGCGCTGTCACACTTCCATTTAGGCCGCGTTCACACTGAGCATTCCGGCCGCCGAAAGTGCTCCGAATCCGGTTCGGCGGCGGCGAGATCCGCCGAAAGTGCCCTCTCCGCGCCGATCGCTCTCGGACCGATTTTTGCGGCGTCTGCCGCCGAATCGGTCACCGCGGACCAATAGGAGCGCTAGTCAAAGAATTTTGAAAAATGGCGGCCAAGCCCTACTCACTTGTTATGCCACAGTGCACATAACTGAATGTTGAAACCAACGGGAGTTTAACCTACTCTGTGCCTACTTCGCGTCCGTATTTCGTGGAAAAGGTGACCGAGCTTGCTGTTGGCGTGACCGAGCTTGTTGTGGTCTTGCAGAGCAAAACAAACCCACCAATGCCGCTGGCGTCGGTGATTTTTCTGCTCTTCGTGCACTACAAGACAGCCACTTGCCTGCAAAGTAAGCAGTACTGTCTTTTCTTGCTTCTTGCGTACGAGAATCGTCGAAGTATACACCACCGGATAGCGTAGTGGCGTTTGCAAGCCGCGACAACAACCGGGTGACAGCGCATCCATCCCGCGTTCGCCCCGTAGTAGATGGCATATTCGGCGGCGCAGGGTGCGTCCAGTGCGAACGACGCTGCGTTTCGGCGGCAGGGGAATTTCGGTCGCTGTAGAAAGCGGATGTTTCAGTGTGAACTAGGCATTATACCTGTCGTACGATTCGGCGAACGTCTCGAAGATCACCTCCCTCAGGGCGGCTGGCGGTGGCGTGCAGGAAGAGACGACGCTTCCGACGGCGGCTTCGTCGTCGAGGCAGGCTTGCACGGCGTCGCACACCGCCACCCTGACGGTTTCGTGCTGGACGATGGCGTTGTAGCGGCACACGTCGTCGGGTGTCAACTCGACGCGGAACTGCGGGTGGTTGTAGTACGGGTTCTCGGCCATGATCGATTGGATGGACACCAGCACGCTCTCGATGGACAGCGCGGGCGTCCAGGCCGGACCGGGCGACGTGCCCAGTATGCTGAGGCACACCTTGCCGTCGGGGTGGAAGTTTGGGTTGAGGCTCACCTGAAAAAAAAGTTGTAGTTGCCACCAATCACCGCCATCAACGTGAGGACAACAGATGATTGGGCTAGTTTGTAAGGATGTACGGTGGGCCCCGCCGTGATGGCCCAGTGGCTAAGGTACTCGGCTGCTGACCCGCAGGTCGCGGGATTGAATCCCGGCTGCGGCGGCTGCATTTCCGATGGAGGCGGAAATGTTGTAGGCCCGTGTGCTCAGATTTGGGGGAACGTTAAAGAACCCCAGGTGGTCGAAATTTCCGAAGCCCTCCACTAGGGCGTCTCTCATAATCATATGGTGGTTTTGGGACGTTAAACCCCACATATCTATCTAAGGATGTACGGTGGTGATTGGAAGCGCAAAAAACACACAATACTTACCAGAAAGAGGATCAAGACGAGCGCTCAAAGAGAATTTGCGGCACTCGTCTTGCCGAGTTCTCCTTTCTTGTGCACTGTCTTTTTGTTTTTATTTTTGCACTTCCAAGTACTTCAACGTATCCCTGTAACTTCAACAAACGAACGAAAGATAATTTAAGGGCTGTTTTTTTTTAGACACAACATTAATGAAAGCCGACAGTGAAGTAAAGCCAAGGAGAGTAAAGGAACGTTATTTACATTCTAATAAACCTGCATTCTAATAAACCCAGAAATGTGAATAAATAGAAGTAGACAAGGCTGTAAAAGTAGACAAGGCCGAACATGCAACCATTTTAATTTTTCACCCTTATATGATGATTGCTACAACACAGCTAACACTACAAATACTGTCTCTATACCTTCAATCGCTTTATTATCTGTTGGTTTTCATTAATAAAAATTAAGAGTTTTAGGTAATTAACAGCATTCAGAATCATCGTTATTGCCAGTTTTAATTGCTCGTTCGATACCCCCCGTGACCTTCTCGTCTGCTGCTACTGATACTACTGCTACTAATACTACTGCTACTATTACTACTGCTACTAATACTGCTGCTACTAATACTATGACGACGACGTCAACGGCGCCGGGTAGACTAATACCGGCGTCACACGATGCATTGCTGACCACGATTAAGCTTGATTCTGATCAAATTTTCGATCAGTGATTGGCTCCCTTCTACAGCTTAGTACGTAAAGAAACTAACTGTGATCATGAAATCCGATCGGGACCAGGCCCGATCGTGATAAAAAGTGACCGTTTGACCCAGGTGTAACAGGGCTTCGCTATCAAAAACACCAGGCTCGTACCTGTCCACCCCCGGTGGTCATGATGCGCACGCGCGGCGGCTGGTTCGGGTACTCGGGCGGGCACTTGACGAGGAAGTGGAAGAAGCCACCCTCGTACGGCGTTTCCGGGGGCCCCACAACCAGGGCCTCGATGCGGGTGATGTCGTTCTCTTCGGGCGCGATGAATACGCCCGCCGGAGGCGCGGCGAAGATGTCCATGATGTCCCGCCTGGCCCTCAGCAGGCACTGCGGCGTGGGCTCTTCGCGAGTGCTGCTGCACAGCGGGTCCCACGAGTAGGACCCGGACGGCAGGTGGCTCGTCGAGAGGCCGATGCTGGCGGCACTACGCGATGAGTGAGCGGTCGCCATGGGCTGCTCGCTGGACATGCGCTTCAGTATTCGCGGCTCCTGAAAGACCACCTGCACCTGCTCGGGAGTCTCTTCTTCGTCTCGGCCGCCGTTGTTGATTAATTTTGATGATGATGCTCACGGTTATTATCAACGGTCTGCTACACTTTAGGCCCGTGCCCACGGTGCGATGGTGATAATTCTATACAGTTGATGCACACTTGCCAGATGATAGTTCTTGTGAGTCAGTGAGTGAGTGACTGAAACAACCTTATTAGGTTCACAAGAGGCGCCTGTTAGCTCGGCGTCACCTGGCTAGGCCCTCTCGGGGACGGTCAGGTTAATCCTGACATGACGGCACTCACGCGAGCCCTCTATGGACGGCCAGGAAGCTTGTGAAGTATTAAGGTGAGAGACTTAGACGCCTCATCAAACGTGGTATTGACCTTCGACCGGCGTGTACCCGGGTGCAGCGAAAGATCATCAGACGATGGTGGTCACCATGTGACATCACCATGATGCCACAGACCTCCAAAATTTTTGACGTTAACGTGACGTCCTACAATGACGTCATTACACGACATCGTCGCTTACCTGAAATCGTGGCCATTACAGAATTCTAGTCGTGCGGACCACTTATGGAAGCCAGATGCTAGCGTACCTAATTCCAAGTCTTCTCTACAGACATACACAGGTCATAGAAATTATGCAGAAATCACTGTCCCTGCATACTATTTTAAAAGAAACACTGCAACTTATTTTCTTTTCTATCAACAAGATTCACAAGTTGTGTATGCAGTAAATATATGTTCTTCAGGTATCGTTATTTAATGACTCGAGACTATTATTGTAAAACTATGCCTTCTATCTACCTCGTATGAAACTGTGCTTTTATGTATTAACAGCGTGTAATGCTATATTTCTTCGTCCATGCTCTGAGTGTGCATTTGGGCGCTGTAGGGTCCCGCCAGGCAGAGCACACCTGCCTTTTTCGCACGTATCCAGGACACTTTCCGTGTACAAAATGAAGAGCTAAAAGGTGACCATGTAGATGCTGCTAACAAACAAACAAAAAAATTAACAAGCTACGTTTTACGGGCACTGACGAAACAGCGAAGCCGGTAGCAGTCCCTTGGTCAGCCTATCGCATTTCCATATGTTATGCAAGTTTTCGAGAAATTGAAATCCTTAATTTTGTTAAGATTTCATTTCCATGGCGGTAAAGTTTCATTGCATGCTGACTGTGCACTCCTGTACATCTATTCCACTCTTATACACGTAGGTGCATTGCAGCGCAAGGTCATATGAGGAGTTTAAGAGCCGCCTTTCCTCTGCAACGAACACTCTTGTTCAACGCCTATCTCAGATCGGAAGCACGCGCCACAATACAGAACAGCTGTTCGACTTTGAGAAGCGATGCGCCTCGTGCAGCTGCTGCCATCCGGATGTGTTTTTGAGCGCGTATACAGCTCCGATATTGCGTTCTCGTCGAGTTGTGGCAGCAGAGTGAGGTTCCCTGACCGTTAGACGCTGCACGGCGAAAGAAAAAAAAAAAACCCGTGTTTTCTCGGTCCGAAAGCTCCGTCAACGACAGTTGCTCAACCTCTTCCTGTATGGAGACGCTGCAGACGATTCCATGACAGTGCCCAAGAGAATATGGCGGACGCAGCAACTGTTTCCAGATAACTAGGCACTATGAATATCCCCTATTATGATTAACATAAAATACCCTAACGAGCACCACTCGAAGTTGTGGGGTCTCCGCGAGGCGAACGAGCGCATCGCCACGCCACGCTCTTGGAGTGAACGGACACAGCAAACGCGGTCGGTACAAAGCACCCAACATACATACATTTATTAACTAATTTAAACGACGATATCGTCCGCCGAATGATACATCAATTTTGATTAACACGCTACCATACAAACAACGTAACGCAATGACACACTAAACACACAATAACATGATAAACACACACTAACACACCCAACACACTAACACATACCCAAGGCGGCATCGCCAACGCCTAACTTTCCACGTGGGACCCCGGCGCGAAGCCCGCGGTGCCGAGCACCGGGGACCCACGCTACAGACAACCGTTGGCGGCAGCCGCCACGCGCAGAAGAGGCTCGCTCAACTCTCGCCCACCACCAAGGCCTGCCTTCCGCCAGGGGCCACCGCCGGCGCTACCACTCTAGGGTGCCTTGATGCCCGCGCGCTCCGCTGAGGGTGAGGACAGCCGCGTCGTCTGCTACGACGGCCGCCATTACGGCTCCTGCCGTAGTGGGGCAGCATGCGAAGCGCATTACCGCTTGCGGTGCTCGCGTATGGTAGGAAAGAAGTACTCGTTGGCGAGCTTTTTTTTTTTTGGTGCAACTTGGACACCTCTTAGTGCTGTTGTTGCCTAATTGTTAAATGGAACAACGCACGTCATACAAACTGGTGGCCTGTGCTTGTACAATGCGCCAGGGGCTGACATAGACTGAATGAAATGAGCCACGAACTCCCACACCAGAAAGATTCGCGTTAAACCGTTGTCGTCGTTAAGACGGAGGGGCGCATGAACTTTTATTACTACGCTTGCTGAAAGGAATGCAATATTTGGGTCTTTGTGAATCAGCCGAATAGCAAAGGCAGGAATCGCTGTACTTTATATACTTGCGTGTGTGTGTATATATAACACACACACACACACGCACACACACACACATTATCTGACATTCGGTACCACCTTCCCCTGCCTCACCATTTCATGCACTGTGCAGGCAGCATACCCGAGAGTAACATGCTTTACCAGTGTACCTTTATGAAACGACACCCACGATTTCAGTGAACAGGCCATTTATTTGTGCGCCTTAATGCTGCGTTGTCCCACTAGTGAAAATCAAAGTCAGATACAAGACAAACCAAATGCAGTACGAAATGAAATGTTTAAAAATAAAAAATGTAGATTCAGGAACGGCGTGGTTTTGTGGGGTCTCTAGGGTAGTTTTAACTGCAGCTGGATATTGACGCAGACCAGGAGGAGATTTGTTGGTCTCGTTGCTGGAGGGTGCAGGCACAGTTCTTTCTTTTGGTGGCTTTCGTTCCTTAGGCAGTGCTGCAAGCAGAAATGTATGTATTCATGAACATATTCAAGCAATGCCAGTTCATGTCTAGCTTGTTAATTTTACAAATGTAACACATGCAGCAGATACCGGCTTAGTTATTGACGTGAGGAAGACACTTGTCCTTCCCCCGCCCTTTCCACAAGGGATAGGGGAAGGTCTTAAAATACCATAATTAAATTGTGCTCAAAATTTCTCCCCACAATAAATGGCTCTAATTCAAATTGGAGCTTCATATGCCAGAGCTACACGTGTGCGCCGTTGTGGAGGGCTCAACTGACATTCGCTCCCTATGCAGTTTATTGATTATTTGATTGTAGGGCTTAACACGCAATACTTTTTTGCAGATTAGTTGGTTCATACTTGAAAAATTGAATTGCTGCACAAACTTGAAGAAAAAAAAACAAGAGAGACAGGAAAGAGTGCAGTTTTTTTTTTTCAAGCTTAACACGCCAACGCAACACAGGTAATGAGGCGCACTGTAGTGGGGGCTCGTGCATCGTGGATCTCGTATACATAATGGTTTCCGTTTTCCCCCTTTGTAAATAACATAGCCACTGCACCTGACATCCTAGCAGTACACGACCGTGTGCTAAGTAGCGGAAAACTGTTGTGCAGTGGGTCATGCCTGTAAACACTGAAATCCAGACGTATATACAGTCATGACCAAAAAATGCAAACAAGAAATATAAACCACAACACTCAAGTATCGCAATTTTTTTTTACATGCAAGTCAAAGTGATGCAACGTAATCACAAAAACAAAGTTGGGAAATGTAGCTTTCCAAACGCACTAATAGCGTGCCATTATTTGACCGTCTAATATTAGCAGTATTTTTCGATTTTGCGTGGTCTGGTTCACATTTTTGTGTTCGCATTTCCTAGCTTTGTCCGTGACTGCATTTCCAGAATTTATGCACTAATGTGGACGCAGCATATGAGGACCTATTTGGTGTTAGCTTCGTAGAAATCCCAGGTACATAGAGTACTTGCAACTGGTGCTGCTTTATGTAATGCAAGAAAAAAGTTCAATCTTACGTTTGAATGTGAACAAAGTTGGGACGGCACTTGGTTTCAACTTCTTCCAGCCATCCGCACGATGTTGCTCATAGTTGTTCTATTCAAAGTGAGCCTGCAAATAAAACCAGAATTAAAAATTAACACACTGGCAGAAGAAAAACGAATGTCTGTCACTGTCAATAAACAAGATTTCATGTATGCATTCAGTATGATTCGCAGCAGGAACTAGCAGTAACTTTGAAGCACAAAAAGAAGGAAACTAATTGAGCTCACGCGCGCTTTCACGTAAGCCACTTCAGTGAGCGCGATCATAGACCCAGCCTGCTGTTATAATAACCCTTTCAATTTTCGCACTGAAGATCTGTAAGGATTCCTGAATTCATGTGAATAAAATATTAGTCTATTGTGCCGACAAAGGACCAGGTCTGATTTTATAGCGAGCGTTACAGATTTCGTTCTATCGAAAGCTTTGTACCCAAGCCTCCAAGTTCCCAATGCAATCGAATTTATTTGTCAGGTAAAAATGACAACACTCCGTAACAGCGCTTGTTTTGTTCGTCACTGAAGTGTTCCTGATTCCCAAGTATACATACGACGATACACACAAGACGGGCAGAAGTCCGACCTCGTAATATTACGAGTTTTTCGCAGGAACAGCATGTTTATGTTCAAACGGCTTGATTTCACAAGAGGCGTTCAAATTTCGACCGATCAGTGCCAACGCGTGCACGAATAAACATGGGCAGGCCTCGTAAGCGTTGTGAAATCCCCCTACCACGCACCCGAGCCTATGTTAATTCCCTGCGAGGCCATATGCGCGCATTTCACGTCAAATTTCCTCTTATGTGAATTACGTGAACTCTACGTGCCGTACTCTTGAAGTTCGGCAGCAGTCAGGCGCCGTCAGATTTC